ATGGTTTCAGAAGACATATTTTTAACATAAAAAATTAAATAATTCTTAAATCCGTTCATTTTGGTATTATTTATTATATTTTTATTCCAAGTGGTTCAATATACTATGTATTACTACTGTTCTCTCTTCAGAAGCATTGTTTGTTTTAACTATTTAATGGTATAAATTATAATTATTTAACAAGTCATGGTTTAAGCAGGAAGATCTGTTTTTAATTTAAACTGAAGTGTTCTTAAATCCAATCATTCTGATACTGTCTATTATGTCTGTTACTGTTGAAAGAACTTTAATGCAGTGATCCCGTTCTCTTTGAAGGAAGTTTCACCGCTTGGGCGACACGACGCGATGTGGAACGCGGAAGGCTAAGGGAAGTAACAAAGTCACGTAGCTAAAGCTGGATCTAGTCCCGACCTGTTAGAATAGATTGTCTTCGGGAATGGATCTGATCGCTCTTTAATCTCTTGTTATTTACATTGAACGCCGCAGATGGTTAGACGTGATCGAAAAACGTGATTTGCATTCGTTTCTGCTCTGACTCTGGGTATAAATTCAGAAAATGTCTGTCAGTATTAAAAGACGTCCTACGTTTCGTAATGTAGACACGTTGCGTTATTTACAAAAGTGAATTTGTAATAAACGAAAATTGCTTCTATGTTGCATTGTTCATTGAACAATTCGCCATCAATTGGACTTCCGTAAGCAGAAATGGAATGAAACTCGGTGAAAATCTGTTAAATCGATGATTTGTGAAAAGCAGCTACAGGATTTTCTACCTGCAAGTGTTAAAGTAACAGTAGAACCGATGGACGAATATATCAATATTGTGCAACGGTGTGAATTGGTAATAATCCAATTTATCTGCAAATCCACTTCTGCAAGATAGAGTTATTTCTGTAAATACTGTAACCGCGAAATCCAACAACTCGTCGTAGAGGCAAACGTGGCGGAGAGGAAGAGAGGAGGAAATGATATAATCGAAGAACAATTCGGCCACGGTACATACGAGAAGTCGAGTGGTTAAACTGGCGTTACGGTCCCAGATATAAATTACCAGTGCTTGATAATTGAAATCGTAACAAAGAAAATCTGGTAAAGAGCGTTGTTCTTCGTGAATCCAGTTAATGCGATTGAGAATCGTAAGGACTATTATGCAAGTGAAATTGGACAACCGAAAATTTGAATTTCAGCGTTCCATTGTTAAGAAACGAATCCTTTAAGCGTTGCATCGTGTCCGACGTTGCGACAACAACATTATATCATGAATGAATCATAAAATGAAACTCGTGATTAAATGTACTTGTCACGAATCTCCGGTCTGCCGAATATTGTTTTCCCATAAGAAAAGACTTTTGTACCCCGGACTGTGATTCATAGCAACTCATTCGTTTCGAGGCCATCTATTAGTCGCTGACACACCGAGCTCTCCAGATATCAATCATCCTACATTATGTACGCCATCGCGACGGCAACTATTGTCTTACAAATTCGAGTAACTATTAATTTCCAATCTTACGTACATCTGCGTCCGTCTCGTGAATCGCGTTTGTCATATTTTCGAGTCACGGATTTGTCAATTGAATGAATTTTGCTTTTCATTCGAATTTAATATTTACTATCGAATATAATATCGAATTTAATATATAATTCTATATTTATATGAACCTTTACATAAAAACAATGACAAGGCATTGGAATTTTTACATTTACTAAATATTATATTAATCAAATATTTTAAAAAAAAATCAGAAATTTTGCGAGCCTATTAAAAAGGTTATTGCATCTTCACAGAATTTTGATTTCA